CTGCCATGTCCTCTGCATCCTCGACACCAGTGAAGGAAGGAGCAATCAAGTCGAGGAAGTCCTTATGTTGAATGTTCCAAAAACCTGTGCTCTGCATCTTTTCGAAGAGCTCACAATCAAGAACATGGTTGTAGGGGTTGTTACAAGCATGACGTCCAGAACCCTGGTCGAATTGCGCCGAGGAGTAGCGAGCCCACACCGTGGCATCTTCTTCCTTAGTACTTTGAATGTGACATGTGTTTGGATTAGGTAAGGTTTGATGTGAAAGTATGAAAGGAACGAGAAACAGCCAAGTGTGCAAGCCATGCCAAAGAAGTATTTTTTAATGTGACAGAAGCAGCTATACACGTCACCATAAACAGCCAAGTCGCCGAAGGATTCAAAAAGGCCTTGAGGAAAGACGAATCCATCCGTTGTAGCATGCCGTCATCGAAGACTCCTGGCTTGAACTTCGTGATCGGCTCGGCTTTAAAGAAATCAAGGTGCTTGGCAGTCACAATTGAAGGTACAAGATCTTCTCGATCAGCTTGTGTGATCTCGAACTTGGATTGAGCAAACAGAATGGTTTTGGAGCCCAAAGATTTTCCGACACGAGTACGCCCGATCCATGTGATGGCGTGCTGCCGCATGGTTGGGAGCATCTTGACAAGGATCTCGTCGAGAAACCATGCCACAAAGCTTTTCAATGTCAATGGCCAGTACTGGATCGTCTTTGCATTTTGCCGACCACGATAATAGTTGTGAAGGGCTTCCTTCACCTTTCCTTCCTGCCATCCCTCCAAAGGACCACCGGGACAATGCACTTGTTCGTCAGTCCATTCCATGAATTGGTTCATGTTGTTCGAGCGAGGACCATGTTCTCGAATGAATCGGTACCCAGACTCTCGAGCACTCTGATCTAAAGTGTGCTTCTTCTCAAACTTGGGGGCGAGGGTCCAAATCCGAATCTGCATGCCGCCGGTGCGATCCAACATGTTGTTGCGTCCAGCTAAAGCCAATCGAGTCTGTTTCCCCCAATCGAAGCAGACAGGAGCTCCATGACAAAATGATACGCAATCAGCAGATGAGACTTTGTTTTTGTGCAAGTAGATGTGCTTGAAGATGTCCACATAGTCCTGCTCTTTGTCTGGTGGAAGGTAGGATGGCACATCACGATCTGCAGAATATAAGGTACCTTGGGCTCGGCTTTCAAATTGAAGGGTTCTGGTAACTCTCGATATTTGGCCTGGGCACAGAGAGGGTACACAGTCATGTCTAAGAAGTTAGCATCGATCTTGAAGTTGCCCTGGACTGGGAAGTTCTGCACGATGTCAGCAAACTGTTCGAGCTTGCCTCCTATGCCATCCATGTCACGAAGAGGAAGATCGATGAAGCAAACATCGCCGACCGGTCTGTTTGATTTCAATGGCTTTGCTTGCGGGCCACAAAGCTTCAGACCTTGTACCTGGACGCACGATTCTTCGAAGGTGAGAACCCCATCACGTTCTCCCAGTTCATGCCTGAAACTGTCCACGAAGTTCACATCGATGTTTGCCATTGGATCAAAGACAGAAATTTGCACTATGAGCTAACCAGGTCTTGAGAAAATGAATGCCAGCTGACAGGAATGATGACATTGCAGAAGCAACAGACGTGAAGAAGGCATGTGCATTATGATGAATCAGTTGCAGGAGCATTGTGCCGAACAGACTTATCATATTACATGCTTGCAAAATTGTTTTGAATTTTTCCTGTTTTAAAGAAAAAAACATTTTTAATTTGTAACATTAGAAGACTAATCACACGAGGCTAACCTTTTTTTTTCTAAAACTAAAGTAGGACTCACACGAGGCTAACAGAGCAACCTTTTCCTTTCACGCAGAGCAGGCTCACAAGCGCATTGCTGTTCAAAGTGTACTACGCCAATTGCGATGATACACTGACAGAACAGGTGACTAAGGCACACCGGAGTTGGAAAAACCAAGATTTGTCACGCGTGTTTCTTTTGTAGCTTGTCTTATCACAACCTGTATCCATGTCATCAACATGTATCTACATATTCAAACACTGTCCGGTGTGCCGGGTGGTGACCCTAGCAGCTCTGGTGGCGTCATCGGCACCCGCAGCATAACATCATCTGGCGGCGTTCTAGGTGGTGGCCCAGGTGGAGTGCCGGGTGCTGCACGTGGTGGTGGTGGTGAGCGGCTTCGTTCAGGTCTGCGCTCCCACCATACGGGATGATCAGGAGGAGGCAGAATCCAGTCTGACCTAGGCACGAGAGATGGATGTTGAAGGGAACGAGACATCATGCGTGCAATGTGCAGATGACGGTTTAGTTAAAGCAAGTGATGTCAACGATGCTGGCTTCACCATATATAGATTTTCCAAGGCGCTCCCAAAAATCGTCCTCAAAGACCAAGTCCCCGCAACTCGATGCCACCTCCACGTCCGTGCCCTTCTTTGGCTTTGCCGCAGCCATAGGACGTGCGATCTTGGGCGCCATAGCTTCCAAACTAGGTGGGCTGTAGTAAATTGACGCTTAAATGGCTTCATCAAAACATTTTGCACAAAGGATGTGACAGCAAGATCGAAGGATGCATCGCAGATAAAATTTTCCAGATGTCTTGGGGATGAGAAATTACAAAATAGATATTAAAAAAAAAACAATTTTCCAGAAGTCTTGGGTAGCAGAAAGATGCAAAACCAAAAAAACTTCGAGAAAACCAAAAAAAAACAAAAAAACAATTTTCCAGAGGTCTTGGAAATGGAAGAGGTTAGGCAAGAGACTCAAAATATTGTTTTTTTTGTTTTTTTTGTTTTTTTTTGGTTTTTCCAAGGTTTTTTGACTTTTCTCTAAGGGGCCCTCCCCAAAGAGTTTCCAAATATTGTTTTTTTTGTTTTTCTTGGTTTTTCTAAGGTTTTTTGACTTTTCTCTAAGGGGCACTCCCCAAAGAGCCTTAGAATATTGATGTTATTGGCTTATCCACCACTTGACTTTGTATTTCTTTGGATCACACTTCCTTCATTGTACACTTCATTCATTATTATATTTGTATCTTAATTTGGAACAATTGATTACCATACATTCAACAATATCATAAACTATTGTAAAAATCATGGTAAAGTAATAAAACCTTGGCTTGGGGGGGTACCATATATATATTATAATATATAATATAATATAATATAATATATATATATATTATATCAGAATATCATATATATATAATATATCATTCTCGATCCAATTTCTCTGTGCAATTCACCAGCACAGGTCCGCAAGTCTTCTCGCTGCCTCCACGGTATTTGTTTGGTGCGAATGAAACCCTGCGATTGCAGCGTTGCAATGGCTACGCACGGCCTGTCAACGGGGAGCAACATGAGGCACTGAAGTGCACATACACGTATTAATCGTATGTATCTGTATGTATACTAGGATATTGTCATATTATGCATACATTATAGGCATATACTAAATCACTCAAAATGAATATTTATAATATATATATATATATTATATATACACATACTATATTGTAAATATTCATAAATATTCAGTAGTTTCATGTCATCCCATTGCACCCTTAGCCTAAGCAACATGCCTCGAGCTCACTGGAAATCTCTTCCTGCTTTGCTGCCTGTTGATCCAGCACCTGGACAGACTCCCATTGGCTGAGACAGACAGTTCCGATTGGAAAGGTCCTGCATGGTCCTGCGCTCCAAAGTCGAATATGGTGGTTTAATGGCATTTTATGGTGGTTTAATGGGATTTTATGGTGGTTTTATGGGATCTAATGGGATTTACCCGGCCTGGTTATGACATTCACACTTCGCCATGGTTTTTCGATGGCCCTAATCGAAATAGATGGTTTACCTAGGTGTACCGTTCTTAATAGCATGGTGATGTTCCATGGCAATGTTAGTCACAACCAGGCCGGGTAATATATGTTAATATATGTTAATATCAGGCTTTTGATGGCTTTTGTGTGCTTAAGTTGTCACATGGCAGAAGTTGTCACATCCACATCTCCACATCCACGCAGCGGGAAAACCACCTATGCCAGGTGTTCCGTTGGAGTAGGTGTTCTTTCATTTTGAACATTCGAAGTAGACCGAAAGGCCCTTGCTCAAGACTTTTGAGCCCAAGAAGCCATCAAAAACTCAAAAACATGACCTAAACCTGCAATGATCGCCTTTGATCATAGATCAAAAATCACGGAATCATCTATTCATAGAATTGGATGATGGGAAAATTTACAGGAAAGCCCTAGATTTGATGGTAAAAACCATGGTTTCCTGATGTTTCCTGTAGATTTTCCCTTAAACCAATCCAATGATCTATTCAATCTATTCTAGGTGATAGTAACAGTAGTAACAAGCTCTCTCAACTATTTTGTTGTGGTGTGCCTCATCGAAGAAGCTCCGCTGTTGGCTCCGGAGCTCCTGTGCCTCTTGGCGCTGCTTGCCGCGCAAAAGCTCAAGTTCCTCCCATAAAAAGACCACGTGCGGCACAACGATGGCACAAATATGACACATATTATGGAAATATAAATTATTATTATCATTATTACTATTATTATTTTATTATTATTATTTTATTATTATCATTATTATTATTTTATTATTTTATTATTTTGTTATTATTACTATTATTATTATATATTATTAGGGAAATTCCAATATGGATACATATTTGGCACATTATGGCACTAGGACCCCCTGACCGCACTGGAAATGGTCAATCCGAATGCTCTGACTCATACTGCGATTCGCAAAAATCCAGGGATTCTGGATTCAGTACTTGGTCATAGCAGGTCATAGCTTCATACCTGTTTTATCCATATGTTGACCCAATTTTTGTTGATTTTGTATGCACACTTTCTTGCACACTTTCTTGTACTGGGTCCACTTGGTCCCTGGCAATCGAGGATGCAAAATTGCCCAAACGCGCATTCGGATATCATCATGATGTGATTCAGGAGCGGGAGTTTTGACCAAAATATGACCAAAATAACCTGTGCTTAGCACCTTTGACTGGTTTTAATGGTGATCAGAATGGCAGCGTCCTCCATGGTTGCCATATTGGATGGCTGTTGGCACACCTGGCGCTCCAGTGGGTCCTGCAACGAGAAAACGACAACAACAAAACAAAACAAGATAGCGACAATGTCGGGACAAAAAAACTATGGTTCAGTTTGGGACAAGGACCAAACTGCTTGATGGCTCATGATGGCAAAATATGCCTTGATAATTTGATCTGTCTCCTCGCTCGGACGATCAGGAGCCTTCTCGGCTTTGCAGCCAAAAGCCTGTTGGAACTGCAGCACCAGAGCGGACTGATTCATTGTAGCAGCTAGCCTCTTGAGAAACCAGTTCTGCAAGCATTCGATATCGATGTTCTTCAATGTTCTTCAGTGTTCAAAAAATGTCTTGTGAATCATATGTTTTTCTTTAGACATACTATATCATACTATACTACAATATCAACTTTCAAGGAATGCTTGCTCCATCTCATATGAGGGAGATGGAAAAAGCTGCAGCCCTAAGATGAACATCATCAAACCTTGCGATGGCAACAGCCCAGCTTGTGACAGCCTGCCTTGAAGATGCTCCACTCTCCTGGCTTGACTGCAACTGGACAACCTAGAAAGTAGTGTGGCTGTGTGTGTACAAATATACGTATGGATATATGAATATAACAACATACGTGTAACATAGTTACACATATATAAAAAAAGATAAACATGATGAACATGTACAAAAACATTTAAAGGGGATATACTATGCTTGCAAACATGTGTTCATGTATCGCATTCAATTAAATTGCATTGCATTGCATTACACTCACATTTACATGACATGAAGAATTCATTACATGACATTCTACACTTAATTTTATTTACATGTACTTCATTCAATTCCATTCCACATATATAGCCCTAAACCCTTTGCATACAGAAGAGTGACACCGACATTATGATATGCATAGTGATTAGTAAAACGATGTTCTATAAATATCTATAAATATATAATATGAATATGAATATGATAATATATGATCACCACATGCGAAAGACATCTACATCTACATCGGCCCACAGCTGCGCTAAAGACACATCTCCTGCATCACGGTGTGCAATGTCCAGCAACCCGGCAAGGTCTTGTCGGTCTCGCTGACGCTCCTGCCGGATTCCCTCCACCTGCCAGCTGCAACGGAGAAGCAACGAGCTTCTGGAAATAAGTGGACATATAGTGGAAATATAGTGGGAACATAATGGGACCACTTAAGTGACTTGTATCAATTTTGCATGCACGGGAGTCGAGGTTCTGGAGCAGCGCCGCTCCTAATGATACGGAGTGGCAGAGTGTCGAGCCAAGATGAGCTGGTCGGCTGGTCAGAAAAATAGAGAATAAAAAGCTGTTTCAAACTGGAAACGCACGAACAAGTGGGTATGGGTCAAAATTAGGTACCCCAAAAATTCTGATGGTGAATACTAAACTAGACTAACATCTGTGGTCCCCTAGGTCTTCCATTTTGACCCAGATCCAAGTAGGAATCAGCGAATGGAATGCATTGCTATGCATTGCCATAATTCTGGCGGGAAAAATGAGACAGTTATTAGGTAAGTATTAGATGTTTTTAGCGACAGCATGTCGTTGTGTAAAGTGGTCACGAAGAGACATTCACGGCAATGACAAAGTTGACTTAGCATGGGAAAATAATAAGCCCAGTTACTGCCAGTCTCCCCCCCTTTGTGCCGGATTGTCACAACCATCCTGATAGGATGCATGGTGCTGCCATATATGGTAACATGGATCCCATTAATATACCCCAGTCATGTTAGCATATTAACGGTATATTAATGGTATATTAAGGGTATATTAATGGTTGAATGTTATATATACCAGCACCATGGATCCGTCATGGGATCCTAATCATGCCAGAATTCAACGGCATTTTTTTGTCAACATCATGGTTTCTGCACCTCCGAGGACAAGCGCTTCACAGCTCCAAGGTCGCGGAGGCTGTCAAGCACTTGACGTTGCAAATCCTGCCGGGCCGTGACGTTCCGTTGAGAAAACTGATGAAGATCTGATTTTTAATTGGATATATCTCCCATGAAAATCATGAAATAATCAGAAAGATCATGAAAGATCATGAAAAATCATGAAAGATCATGAAAAATCATGAAAGATCATGAAAGATCATGAAAGATCAAGTGCACCCATCAACTGCACACTGCCGCTGTCACCAGTAACCAAAGCTTCAAGTTGAAGCATTCATCAAACGATTAATAGCTCTTATAATTGCACAAGCGATGTCAAGCCATTACCAGTGCGCATACAAATGTCAGCCAACGTGGTTCATCGTAGTCTGAGGCACACTTCATACCGTGCAATGCCCTGCTGGAAGAGCTGCAAAATCGAAATCCTTATCGTATCTGATCGTATCTTATCGTACCTGAGTTTTTGGATGTTTTTTGTCTCCACTTTGCGACACGATTCGCCTCGATATCGCGATTCTGCATCGATAGCCTCAACACAAAACCCATAGGGGAATGCAGCTCCCATGGCCACCATGTCCCATGTGTCTCGGTCACTGGCCTGTGCTTCATTTCAGTAGCATAGCTCTCATGCTTTTGCTGGATGGCCTCATAATCCAAGAGCCGTAGCTGGATTTCAAGCATTTCAACCGGGAAAACTCGGAGTATTCCCAAGTTCAGAAAAACAGCTTGATCACGTTGGATCACCTTGGAATGTTCACAGAACTGTTTACACATGGTTACCATTATGCTACTATTGTGTTACATTGTGTTACTATTTCTTCTGCATCTAGTGTTGTCAAAGCTGAGGTGATCTAATCCCAGGAAGTCACCCTCCCAAACACACCTGGAAGTCCTCCACACTAGGTCCTCAAGGATTCGTGCAGTTTTGAAGCTGCGAGCAATTCAAATCATTCATTCTTTAGCGCTTCCGCCGAATTGCCGAGGACGAGCTGAATTTTTCTGCCAAAGCTGTCCTGTGTAGACCGCTGGCTGAGCTTCGCTATCTTCAACCTCTGGTAACAGTCGGGCTTTGCCATAGAAATGGACCAAAACCACAGCATTTGGCATACCAAAGTTACCATTTGGCGGCAAAACCACGTGCCTCAGGCTTCACCATCACCTCTTCCTTTAACGCCTGAATTCTCCAGTCAGGTTGGATCAGGGTCAGGATCTGACTGGTCCCAGATCCCAAGATCGCCTGGAGTTCTTCCCATCGGCTGTCCCAGGTGCTTCGTAGGATCTGTCGGCCGCGCACAGATATCCACCGTCTGAGATTGATATAGATTGATATGTTCCTTCGTTGATCCACTGGTACGCTGAGAAATACTGCTAGTGCTACAAATATTTAGCTTCTTTAAAACTATGCGGGCAATATCACATGAGAACATTTCAGAAAACAATGTTCAGTCTGTGAATCTTGTTTGGACCTATTACATATATTACAATCCTATTATGATCTATTGGAAATACATGGAAATACCCTCTGGTAAATTAACATAACTATGGAAAGATCCACCATGCTATTAATGGGTAAATCCACTATTTCGACTGGGCCATGGCTTCTATGTCGCAAACTGTTGACATAACCAGTTCGGCCTTTTTGCTATGCACATCTTCATGGCGGGTCACATGGTGAAAAATTTGGGCGCCTGAAAGTCGCCTTGGTGCTTCACTTGTGCAGTGCGCACCTATCCGTTTTTGAATTGCTCCAGGTCCAAGGGGAAATTGAGGCAGTTGAGGGGACACAAAAATTGGCACAACAAAATCACTGGATTGGTTTAAGGGAAAATCTTAACCGGAAACCCATGGGTTTTTTACCATCAAATATAGGGCTTTCCTGTAAATTTTCCCTTGAACCAATCCAATGAAACACATGCAAAAACATCATGCTCAAGATGCAAAATATTGGAACCATGTTACAACATGTAAGAAAACACCGGGAAAAAAAACATCAGGAAGAAAAATACAATTACAAAAATGAGATCTTCGGCGAATAAGCAAACATGTTTACACAAGCGACTGAATTGGCCATGTGCTTCAGGCACGAAAGGTAAAGCAATACACAATTGAAATAGCTGCTATTCCACTTTGTTGCCAATTCCTGTTCCTGTTTTTGCTGGAATTGCTCGCTTTTTGTCTGATTCCCGTTTCTACCCATTTGGATTTCGTTTTAATTCTGATATTTTGATGATTCCTCCTTGTGCTGATTCCATTTTCTTCGAGTTGTGTTCTGTGGCCGCTCTTCCAATGTTCACCTATCCAAGATATTCTCGCACATCTTATCAGTAAAATCAAACATTGCATAGACTGGTTTGGATATGGGCACAGTATGGCGGCAGTAGAGAGGGGCGTTGGGAATCACAGAGTCTGCAAGGCAAGAGCACTTGAAGTTGATGAAAGGATATGAAAGGATATGAAAGGGAGAAAGGTCTCTCACACACAATCACACAGTCATTGAGGTGCCCGGGCACAATGAAACATACAGCCCACCAGCATAAATCATTGATGATTCTGCTGTACATCCGCAAAAAAAACGGCCTCTCCAATACCTTGGGCTAGCTGTGCACGCAGCTGAGCCACGTCCTCACCAAGCCTGCTGAGCCGGGTAGCGGGTAGCTGGGTCAATGATCCAATGATCACCGCAACACGTGCTTCCAAAATCTTCAATACACATTGATATACACATAGTTACAGACGTCAGTCATGCCAGTCATGTCAGGCATGTCAGTCATGCCAGTCATGTCAGTGAAGTGGCTCCTTTCACCCAAAACACCACACTCTTCGCGGAGGTCTTGCAGCAGCCGCTCGAACACCTTCAGACTGAAAGTTCAGTTTTGCACATCGGCATCGCGAAAAGGGAGACATCAAAGCGTTCAAAGCTGGAAGAGCGACAAGATGTCGAACAAAAAGAACGCGCCAACAGCAAAAAAATGCGGATAGACCAGGCACATCTAGGCACAGCTCTCCACGTTTGAACATCTCTAAAGTGACTTGGCTTCACCACCTTCACTTTAGGCGCCATTTTTTTGGCCGAATTGCCAATTGCCATCCATTAACATATGATTAACGTATGATTAACATATGATTAACATATGATTAACATATGATTAACATATGATTAACATATGATTAACATATGATTAACATATGATTAACATATGATTAACATATGATTAACATATGATTAACATATGATTAACATATGATTAACATATGATTAACATATGATTAACATATGATTAACATATGATTAACATGCCATAACATCCATAACTGGATCCTGTGGCTGGTAACTGCTGCGACACCCAAAAAACAACGACAGCGGCACCGCTTCGCTGTCTGGTGCCGAGATCTGCGGCACCGGTGGCACGTTGCAGATCACCTCACAAGGTGGTGCCCCAGTTCGGAATCGCTCAGTTGGTGCAAATAACTCCCATAGTTAGCTAAGTTGGTTTATGGTAGATATAACTATAGTTAATGGGGTTTATAAACCAACAAACATAACTGGGGGGCACCATCCTGCATGATTTATCATGGTGAATGGTGGTTAATATACTGTTAATGATGATGGTTCATGATGATGGTTAATGATGATGGTTAATGGTTAATATATCAAAATAGCATGATCAAACTAGTTTATACATGTGAAAATACTAGTTCCTTGTAACTGTGAAGTCAAAAAACTAGTCCAAAGCTAAACAAACTAACCCATTTTGGAACTCGAAATTGCATGAAATAGCAATGCTGAGTGAACAGCTCAAAGTGCTGTTGCACAATCCATTCATCCCGGCACTATCACAATTCTGGGCAGATATCAGATATCAAGTAATGACAGCCATCAACAGCCATGACAACAGCCTCTAAAGTGTTGGCCAACTGTTGCTTTACGGCCTGCCAAAGCGGTTGACTGTGAGTGACTGTGACCTGTTGTCGCATTCACTAACTAACTTAGTCTGCTTCTGGTTTACCCGGTTTACCCTTTGCAAGTTGGTCCTAGGATATCCGGATATCCAGTCGGTGCCTGTGGAAAAAGTTCTATGACTTGCATTTCAAAATATTTCAAATATAAATTGTATCTCAATTTCTATGAATTTCGACAGCGGCCATGGAGAGCCTGAAGCTCGCAAAAGCATTTTGTTTCAGATGCTTCCCGTTTCATGGCTTCCTCCTGGCGCATCGCCTGCACCAGAATATGGCAGAATACACTCAGCAGCGAACTTCAAAGAAAATTCGAGGCGCACTACAGCCATCTAAAGCCTATAAATTCATCTAAATTGCTAAATTAAAGCCTAAAGCATCCTAAAGCTGATACAGTAAAGCTGATTGGGGCGCTTTGGTGCAGTCCATAGCAACAAAATGCAACAAACGTCAGTTCGTCTTCACTCTAAAGCTTCATATCCGTCATAGCCTTCATTATTCCATGCACCTCCAGGACAACATTCTGCTTGTCTCGCAAAGCATCAATGTCTGCCCGATGGCGACTATCCTGTGGACAAAAGAACCACCGCGGAACTTCAATTTCTGCTGCATTTGGTAGAATTGAACACAATTTGTTGCAGAAATGGGACACACTCCATGAATCAGTTGCTCAACCCAACATTTTTTTAGATAAAAAATGATAAAAACAAATCTAAACACATCGGGTTTATGAGTTTTTACATATGCATTCTGGAGTTATCAGATCATCATCACAAGTACTAGACATGTCTTTTTTTTTTTGGGCCTCCGCCTGCAACACCTCCAGCTCATTGAGGCGCCTCACCTCAACAAAAACATCATCCGCAAAGTGAAACGACAAGTGTCACACATCACTTCCATGTCTAACCAGGATCTGATTTCAAAAGATTTTCAAAGTTGTCATGATGTTTTGGAAGCCAAAAATCAGCATGTTCAAATGTCCACAAAAAGATGTTACAAATGAACATCTTCAAAGATGTCGCATGGTTCACCTGGAGCTCATCCACTACGAAGCTTTGCAACTCATCCCTGAGACAAGAGGTGACTTCAGACCAGTTTTTTTTTGAGATCTACAATTGGGAAAAACATTGGGACTATTTTCTGGGATTCCATTAACTGAAGAGATGGAATCGCGGACATTTATAATTCGTGGATAAATTGGGATAATTGGGAGAATATCCTTATAATGGAAATTCATGGAATCTACTCAGAATCTACTCTCTGTGAAGGATTTCGACACGATTCGATCTCTGTCGCTACTGTCCGGTTCTCTACTCTCAAGAAGTGACATCTTCCCTGACCAACAGTGCACTTCACTTTAAGATCTTTAAGACCTTCTGCCTCGCCAGCAATGGATAACAATGGATAACAATGGATAACAATGGATAACAATGGATAACAATGGATAACAATGGATAGCAATGGTACATCACAAGAAGGCCATGTGAGTCTTCGAGCGTTAACACATGTTGACACGTTTAGAAGCTTCCGCTTTGAAAAAGATCCTGCCTCAGAGACTGCTCCAGATTGCCTCGGAGCCGGGCCTTCACATTTTGCAGGTCAGACATAAACTTCAACATATTTCAACATCAACCAACAAATATGAACACATATTAACAGTTGGAACAGCATTCACCTTATTCGCATGAATAATGGGTCAAGATGATTCCCTTGAATATTCACAAAATGCTGATTTTTTCCCATTGGGATACCGAAAGATGCCTGCTGAAGTTGGAGTTCATGAACTTCGCTGGAGATCCTACCGCATGAAAAACATCTTCAAAGATCAAAGGCGTCGAAGTAGATCAGGATTTTGATGAAACTGCATCCCGAATCATGTTCAAGAGTCTGCAATGCGAAGGCTGCATATACTAGTGTTGATAGTGACTACATCATGTTCAAGCGAAGTAGATCTTTGGGCATTTTTTTGGCGTCAGAACATAAGCTTCACAGCCATGCAATTGATCTGCTACGGCCGCTTTGGGGCGACACTAAGTCCTCTGAGACAGGCAGAGTAAACAAACATTATCGAAATAATTCGAACTAGTTCATGCAACAATGCGTCAATGCGCAGTGCCGACTGTATTGTGGAAGTGGACAAATGCTTGGCTGACCAACCGAAGCTGCCAGTTGGATAGTTTGCCCAAATTTACTTCGCAATTCCATTCAAATCCATTCATCTGCGGGTGCCACACTTTTAAGCAAATTCAAGTCCCTGACGCTTCATTGGTGCATATCCAGTGTTTGGGCTGGCAAATGTCTATGCGATTGAATATTCTTCCAAAGTGTTCTCTTTCAAACAATGAACATCTCCATTATTAGATTGGAATTGAGCTCTGAGGAAAGTATCATGATGTTGTTTGATGGTCCCTCCTCATCTTTCCTCTTGTGTGGCTTCACAATTCAGTCAGAACTGCATTCTGTGGCACGACACATTGGGCCATGAAAGTCAGCACAATTGGCTGCATGCTGAGCGGATCCTCTCATGCAAAGATTTGAAGTGCGATTCAGAATTTCAGAACTTTGCTTTCTCAGTATATAACCCATTATATAACCATTATTATTCCACTATATAGTCAGTATAAGCCCAGTATATAACCCATTATATAACCATTATTAGTTTTCTCAGTTTTTTTCTCTGGTGAAACAACTCTCTGGGAAGAGCACTTCACCAAGCCATAGCATGAAGTCAAACTGCGTTTCTTCGTCCTCGTCGTCGTCGTCTTCGTTGTGGATCTGGAACAGACCAGCTTCAAAGGCTTCCTCACTTTCGCGGTCGATGTTCAGCAAATCCATGTAGAACAACTCCTCTCGAAGGCATGCCTCGGTGTGGAGCATCTCATACTCGAGCTCAGCTTCCAGAAGGCTCTGCCGAAAAGCCTCCTCCCATTCCTCTGGGGTGAGCACGGGAACAACGTCTTCACCTCAGGGGATTTGGGGGATTCAGAGATATGCAAATTTTTATAGTGGTATGTACTATATCTAGATATCTATTTAATATATCTATCTATACATATATATGTTCTATACATCTATACATCTATACATCTATACATCTATACATCTATACATCTATACATCTATATCTATCATCTATAATTATATATATATATTGCGAAACCTTGTGGATATATCCAACTCAGAATGGGGAGACCCTGTCTCACAACCGCTGTAGCCCCTTTTTGGCCTGTTGCTCAAGTTGTCCGCTCCCACCCACCTCAACTGAAGCCATGATTGGCGTGGCCAAGTAGTTCGTGTCAACTGCCGGATCAAGTGGCATCCAAGGATCTCATGATGGAACAAAGGTTGAAAGAAATCACACTCGTCAAAATTTCTAAACTTCAAACTTTTTTGACGTCATGTTTTCCATGAGATCCGGATACTTGCCTTTGATCCTGGATTCCTGCTCTGAGAGCCATTTCAAGCGTTCTTTCTTGTCAGCACGCTGCTTGAGGATATCTAATTCATCAAACAGTGAGTACTTCCCCAAAGCAATAGCACGACGCAATACCCCACTGTCCATGGCTTTCGTGAGGCAGTCTGCTAACATGGCTTGACTGCACACCCAACGCAGCTTGCAGTTTTCCGTCAGTCTTTCCCTAATCAAAAGACACTCTATGGTCGTTCGAAACTCTTCACAGACCGGTGTGGAGGTCCTGGTTGACAAATCAAAAACGGACTTGCAATCTGTCGCTATGGATGCTACTGGACATGTACGCAAAACTTCGGCCGGGTCGGTCCAATTAATGCTCGGATTACACAGCCACGCCCACAAGATTCTGAGCCAGCTTAAACGGTCCAGTGAACCACTGAGTGCAGTGGCTTCTGCACTAAGGGTGCTTCGCACCACCCGAGGTATCTTGCGACTGGACCAAGCAATTGGACAAATCACGGACAGTTGGTTTTGGGCCATTTTTGAATCCGTTGTAAAAATGATAGTCCCTTGCCTGGATGCAGAACCCCGTTTTGTCTCAAAAGAAGCATCTGAAAAAGCACAAAACGAAACCTGGTCCTCTCTAATAGGAACAATCACCAAATTGACTGGATTCTTTTTGGCCTCCAACAAAACACGATTGGCTTCCAAGAGGTCTTCTATACATGCTTTGGGTATTTGGGACTGCAAAATTCCGACCTTGGCACTGATGTCCGGTCGGGTTTGTACCGCCGCATACTGAAGGGACCCACACAGCTGCCGGAGAAATTGTCTCTCCATTTCATTCACAGGTGCTTGAGGTTCCTTACGTCGATGACGTTCCACTTGGATTGGATCAATCCTCTCTATGTACTTCTTCTGACTCATTTCAATACTTCCATCCCTCCACTGACTATAGTGTATTCCACAAAAGTCAAACTCCCCAATATTGAATGCTCCAAACGAGTACTTTTCCCTAAGACGATCAATCGTTTTCATAAAATACTCATCCCCACCTCCAATTCCATCATCGACGTGGATCCCAAGCACACCGCGCACCCTGGGTTTTCCTTGGGTATCCTTGGTGATTAAAGAGAAAACGCACCCATCCAGCGGACATGTCATGAAGCCTATTTCTCCCAATGTCTCTCGAAAAGACTGGTACCACAAAAATGGTGCATCAATCCTCCCATAGGCTCCACCAACAAGTCCACACTGTTCATTTTCCTTCATATTCAAAGCAGAAGCTACTTCTTTGGGTGCATGGATACACAGGGCACGGCCGTCACCTGCACCCTTTAGAAAAGCCGTAGAGACATCGAAATTCAGCAAAGGCCACTTCGCACTTGCAACCTTCTGCAGCAGAAGTTGTTTGCCATCTTTACTCAAAAGTAGGAGCATCATTTGGAACACTGTTGATGTCTGGGTCCTCAAAACCTAAGATGACAAGTCTTGCTTTTGCCCTCTGCTGTGAGGTGCCAGGAAGAGGATCTTTCCAGGTTAAAATCCAGCAGCATCGCATTATTCTATTTTCAGGAAGGGTGCCCTTAGCCAGCTTTCGCACTGTACCATGGCTGATCCAGGCATTGACCTCTTTTTCTTTGGCCTGTCTGAACAGCTCCTTGTCAGAATCGCTAAGGTTCCGCCACTGAACTTCAACCCTCTGCTTTTTGGCAGTGGTGGTAATCAAAATGCACTCAGCTAATTGGCCATCTGTCACATCAGTGTCCGATGACAGATCAAAAACCTCTTGGAACGAAATCTCCCAAAGACCCGGTTCTCCATTGTTGGATTGGCAGTCATCCCCAAAAGCAAACAAACCATCGTCTTCCCCATTATCACCCATATCCTCATCATCATCATCATCATCAGGAACAGGAATTGACAAACCACCCAAATCACCAGGAACAAGAGGGGATTCTGTTTCTTCTATTTCGGGTACACCACCATCCATGAAACTTTCCGGGGGAGATACTTCATTTTCAGGTTGTTCACTGTCAATTGCCATTTGAGAAGAAGGTGCTAAAGAGGGTTCGTATTCATGATCTTCTACAGTCGGCAGGTCATCCAGCGAAACAAAATTACGGGCTTTGGAGGATATCTCTTCATTTCGAACTACCCCACTGGAATCCCTAGGAAGTGCCATGTACTCTCTCATCGAAGCTGGCCTGAGATGTTGAGGACTTGCCCTTATGAGGTATCCTCCATGACACAGCCAAATGACCTTGTTTTTCTCAACTGTGATCACTTGTGCTGGACCATACCAGCGACCTCGTTCATGACGAATGTTCCCTCTCACTCGCTTCCAGTACAGCACCCAATCACCGGCTTCGAACTCAATTGACCCTGGACGACTACGCCTGAGAAGAGCACGTCTGCAGGAACTATCGTTATCTGCCTGAACAAAGGCTCTTCTGGCCTGCTCTCTGCGCTGTAAACTTTCCCGAAAATGGAGTCCTTCGGGTGTCGGACTTTCAGCAAGCAGATGTGCTCCTGTGTTGTCATCCGACGTCAAGGATGCGGGAAGGGCCCTGGCTTTTCCAAGCAAGGCTTGTTCGGGTGTAAAACCCCGTGCACGAGATAGTGCGTTTTTCGCACTGAAAGACTGAAAGCTTGTCGCAAACATCGTTTAAAATCTTCGGAATCTCGCACAGGACTTTCTTGGTCCATTCTGGTGAGCATGTCTTTTATGATACGACCATGAATCTCAGTCCTACCAATCTGCCAATGACTATCCCCAGCGGCCATGACCACTCGAATGTTTTCCCCCTGAAGATAGTCATTCCATTTTGGACTTACATACTCCCCAGCCGGATCTAAGTACAGAGTTTTACAAGGGCCAGCCCATTGAAGCCATGTATCTTCGAAAGTTCGAATTTGCTCTTCAACGGTCCTACCGCTAAGTGCCCCAACATGAAAAAGTGTGCTCTCATCGATAAAATGCATGAAATGATATGTTTGCCCCAACTTAGATTTCCAATGAACCCCATCCGCACCAACAACATCGTTAAAATCAAGATTCTCATGAATGGCTGCTGGATGAGACAACTTTGGTTTTCTCAAAGACTCGAGGCAAACATCACACTGCATCTCTAAAGCACCTGCAATTACTGCAGGATCGGCACCTTGATCGGTCAGGAGCCGATGGAGTCTTGCCGGATCTGGATGTCCCAAATTTTGGTGCAACCTTTTTAAATCTGCCTTCTGCTCTGGCGCCAATGAGCGAAATGCAGGACCATGCACTGGGGTGAATTTCGGTGGCCATCCAGCTATTTCGCAATTCCCCAAACTCCTTGGACCATGTGTTATCAGTCTTTTCTACTTGGGATTCTGCAGGGACATTCATTGAACTTGGAGCCCCGGGATCTTCTTGAGGTTCCATTGGCGCATCACTCTCTTCAGGAGAAATTCCATGAGAACCGCTGGACCCACCAATCAAGGACCTCTTACCAAAAACACTCATGGAAACACGTGCTGGACCAGACTTACGAACCTGTTTTGCCTTGGAGAGGTGCTGCCACTCTTCAAAGTTTCCAAGATCCCTGATGTTCCCAGTGCTTCTGCAGACCAGGAGCGTTTTGCGCAGAGGGATTTCATCTCTGGCATGCTCTGGTGCTGGCACTCGGTGCCTTTCCGTGCCTTTGCACATCAGCACGAATTTGAGATCCACTTGTGGAAATTGCTGTTGAATCCTGAGAACTCTTGGATCAGGAGCATGAAAGTACACATTACCAACCCTGGGGATATCCCTCTCAAACTCAGCAAAAACACTTTTCCAAAACACCTGCCATTGGGGGGAATGTGTTTCTAGCTCACCAGGATTCGGTGGACTCTTTGTTTCATGCCGACGACGGTGGACTCTCCGCAGCTCTAAAACTTCCTGTGCCATTTGTCGCTTTACCCCCTTACTGGGAACTTCTTCTCCAACCAAAAGTTCATCCAACAACAAAGGGTCCTCCTCACAAACACGGCTCCACATCATACCCTTTGCTACCCTACGTGCAAATATCGCAGTATAGGCAGCAGCATAGGCAGATATCTTTGACCATCCATGTTGTGGGTGTTTGAAGTTTCCTTTGATTGGTTCATGTTCATGCGTTCCCTGACAGTTGACATTATGCAGCTGAGCATGAACAATTCGACTTGTGGTCAACACTTGTGTTCGTTTCTTCAAGAACTTGTCAACATTGGGGGCCTTCAGTCTACCTGCCTGGCACATGTCGAAGAAAGCTGGGAGTGTGCCCATGATTGTTTCCTGAAGTCTGGGTTGCAACACCATCTCTGATCCCCTTGGTTGTTCCACGTGAAAGTGACGTCCCATTGCTACTTGGTGAAGGTATAGTTGATTACATAAATCAAGATGAATTTCATCGTTTTGACGACCCTGAAGAATGGAGGTTTGAGTTTCTTGACTGCGACCCATATTAAACCTTGAAAAAGAACCCCAAAATTTACACTCTGGTGCAACCCAAATATTTCTTGGTTCATACATGTGAACCCACATCCAAAGTTTGTTGATCCCTTCTGAGGTTCGTAAATCCCCGTCCTGAATGGTAAACCGCAAAGCACAACCACCAAGTTTGGTTACCTGTTGGGTAAGCTGTGAATTTGGTTCACAGTACACCTCCAAGAGATCAACTGGCCGACTCGGTGTGAGTTTTTCCGACTTCAGGGGCGCACGGACAATGGAAGGATGCTTCTTTTTGATTTGTTCAAGATTGTTCTCAATTTCTCCTACCAGAACATCCATCTTTTGCTGAAGCATCCTAAGTTGATCCTGACTGATCAATTGAGAGGTGGCTCTTCCCCCTCGTCGGTTGGAACCTGAGTCTCGCGTGCAAGCTCTCTTTGGAGCACTGCGATCTGCGTTTGCAGCATTCTCACTCTCTCGGGGTTGGGGTCTGTCGGCATCATCGAGCTGTTGGCCATCTTGCTCGGTTCGTTGGGACGCTTGTTCTTCTCCTTCTTCATGATCTCGACATCGGAAATCACCTGCCAGTCTTCCGTCTTTTCCAGCTTCGGGGCTGCTTTCGGTAGAGCTTTTCCTTTGGGCAGTGCTGTCGAGGTGACATAGTTGGCTGTCACCGGTGGCACAGGTGCCTGGTTCTTCATCTCGTACTTCTCCCGGGCAATCATGTAGTTCTGAAAGCTGCGAAGCCAGGACGAGACTGCCCTTCGATTTCTGATCTGATAGACATAGTTTTTGTCCATCTCGAACACTTGGCTGAAGCTCTTGCCCTGGTTCTTGCCTGAGGGAATGACAAGGCTTCCCCATTGCTGGAGGTTCCGAATCCCCGGAGGAACATTGTAGTTCTGGCTCGGTGATGTCATGTAGGTCTTCTGCATCTGGAGACCCGGATCTTCGTCTCCTGAGAGACTCTGTTCCAGGTACGACATACCGCTCTGGTTGGTGAAGGTGTCCCTGGCCATCAGTGGCAGTGGAAGTCACTGAGATCACAGGGGGCCAATCTGTCTGAGCACTCAATTTGGCAGTGCCGTACTGAATGAAATCACTTGGCAACGGTTTCTGTACAGGAAAAGCATGCATACTTTGACTGAATTCCTGAGATGGGTGTTTTGCGTTTCGTCTCAGCTTTGCCCTTTGTTTTTCAAGTTCATGTTGGTAGATTTCTTCTGTGTCATGGTGTGTGTTGTGTATATCCTCAATATTCAGCAGATCTCTCACACTCACGCACAGCAGATTCTTTCGGCAAGTTTTAAGGGGGATGGTACCAGCCCTATCTAAGAACCTCAAAACTTGATTTCGGGGATCTACCAATACACCAAGTTCCTTTAGGATGGCATTTGAGACCAAGAATGGGGTGCGACCTGGCACGACCTCAACTCGGATCCATCCCTTTTGCCTCCTGGGAATGCAAAGTGCATATTGACTCTGAAGAGTGCCACTGTTACCGAAGCGGAAATTGACAGCGGATGAGACCCTTTTGATGGGGGATTTCAAGAAAGGGGACAAGACTTGAACCAACTCCTGAACCCTATCCCCACCTACAACTGTCCTACTAGCCCCGGTGTCTATCACCGCCTCGCCGGCACATTCTTCACTCAGGGTGAAGGCATGTTCAGGAAAATTGGAATCCGGCTCAGCTGAGATGGTTATCTCCGGAGCTGTTGTGGTCAACGCTGCATCCACCGGAGATCGGGACATCAAACGTCCATGTTTCCTACAGCATTGTTGCAGAGCTCGGGGATTCAAAAGAGGAGTTTTTAATTCCAGCGGTCTTCCCAAATTTGTGGAGGGCCCCGGATCGGTGTTCTTGGGTGCACCATGTTTTTGGGTTCCCTCACCAAACCCTACTTCTCCAAAATAAACATGCTCACTTGGACACGGCTGACACAATTTCCATGATTCGGTGTTCCCAAAAACAAAATCACATGCAATCAAACCCCTTTGTTCACTCAGGCCTAGGTCACTGCGCGCCTCTGGCAACTCGTAGATCAGCTCGGCATCCTGGTTCATGGCATTGGTGGTGTCATCCTCTTGAAGATGGAGAGCTTCGGCAATGGAGATCGTCTCGGCCTTGGGCTTTGCCTCCATGCGACTTTGCCCCAATGGGCATTCCCTCTTCCAGTGTCCATATTGTCCACACCGTCTGCATGCCGAAGATGCGATCCGATCGGCAAGGGATTTGGTCTTCCCTTTTCCACTTTTCCCCTTTTTCCCACGACCCTTGACGCCACCTGGTTGCATTGGCCAGAATCCTCGCCCTCGTGCTCGTTCTTTCAAGCGGGTTCGGGCCTCCAAGTACGTTGTGAAGCAGGATGCCAACTCTGGGGACTCCTGCACTGTCTCTATCAGAGATTCTTCGAAGTCATTGACGAAGATTGCATCCTCATCGCCGTTCTCGTACATGGCTTGAAAAGCCACTTCCTCATCATACACCTCAGCTTCACCTGTCATCATGACTGCTTCTTCAGAAGGGTTCTCAGTGGTGTTGATGTCGTAGGTCTTGTTCTTGGCATTCTTTGGAACCCCTTGCAAGTCCTGGAAGAAGCGCGCACCCAGGAGTCGTAGAGCTCGACGAGCTTCATCATAGCCCAGCTCACCCTTGGATTCCATGATGATGCGTTTCCTGTCATCACCAGGAAGCTGCGATTGACGCAGAAGGATGTAGGCTCTGACCTCCTCCATGGTGACCTTCTGAGCCATCAAGTCCTCGAAGGCCACATCATGACGTGCTAAGTATGAATCGTTTGATTCATCGGCCTTCTGAATGGTCTGGTAAAAGGCCTTTTCGAAGAGTGCCAGCTTCTCTTCGCTGGCCAACTTTCCCCACTGCCCTCCAAGGGCCTCAACAAGGAACTGTACCCCATCTTCACTGCGAAGACGTTGACCATCCAGCCTTGCCACTTTCTGGAAAGCCACTCCTTCAACTTGTAAGGCTGCCCGAGGAGCCAGCTGGGACAGATGTTCTGTCGGCCAGATGCTTCGAAGAAACTGAAGCTTCCGGGCATACACCTGGATATCTGTCGACTGCGGGTCAAAACTCGGTATCTGGTGCCAGGGAAGCTGACTTGCTGGAAGGCTCGAGCCCTGACTCGTCTGCCCATTCTGAGACCGGGCTGCTTCCGCAGGATGGCCCCGTGGCGATTGGCTCATGGCTCGCACGGTCAGTAAGTGACCAATTATGGAGGTGCTGTGCAGTTGATTCTGTTGTCTGAACCTAGACCCCGTCTAGATTAATTGAGGGAAAATTACCCTGCGGCAGCCGTAGCTCCGCTACTAATGCGAAACCTTGTGGATATATCCAACTCAGAATGGGGAGACCCTGTCTCACAACCGCTGTAGCCCCTTTTTGGCCTGTTGCTCAAGTTGTCCGCTCCCACCCACCTCAACTGAAGCCATGATTGGCGTGGCCAAGTAGTTCGTGTCAACTGCCGGATCAAGTGGCATCCAAGGATCTCATGATGGAACAAAGGTTGAAAGAAATCACAATATATATATATTATACGTATATATATATCCAATTATATATCTTTATATATACTGTATTCGGGTGTGTTCAGCATATATCAATCCATGCTCTAAGACATGCTGCGACATGCAAAATGACAATTTGCTGTGCCAACTTGGTTGAGTAACAATTGCAAAGTTATGTGTTTCAAGATGATTTCAATATGAGTCTATTCTCTCTTGTGAAAAGTCTGTGGAAGAGGTCTTACATGGTTTTACTCTCATAGGGACTGAACAGCAGCCTTCCACTTTGGTCAGGTGGGCTCCATCGTTTGGATAGACCACATCAATGGCACTGCTCGTGTCAACGCCTGGATTCTCCATGTGCAGCGGTTGAACTGCGACACTACCAGGCACTTTTTTTGGGCAATCTGTCACTTTGTTCAAACGTTGGGTTTGAGCGTCCTGCCATGTCCTGCCATATGACTATATTATTATGCCATAACTGGTTGCCGAGGATCCTTTGGTACGCCAGTCGGCTCAAACCAGTCAGCTCTTGCATCTTATGACTTTAGCGTGGAAGTTTCATAGACTTCCCCTTGTTTCAAGAGCCAAATGCTGCAGATGTTCTTAGTGCATGGAACATAGCCAAGCATCACCAAGCATCACCAATTAATGTGACAATCTGAGGTGGGTTGTCTATTCGAGATTTGCTGCTTGGAAGCGCGGCAAATCTCACCCATGCCCAACGTTTAGAAACGATTCTCCTGATATGTCCTGATTAGATTCATGAAGGCTTGACCATGACACCTTGATTTCTTTACCCTCCGGTAAACATACAAAAAGCTACTGAACATGGCCATAGAAATAGTGGATTTACCCATTAATAGCATGGTGATTTTCCATAGTTACGTTAGTTTACCAGAGGGTATATTTCTTATAAATTCACATGATCTCTTCAATCATTCGGTTTCGGCCACTTCTCTTCCGGGGAGGCGCTTCTCCTGCCAAACTCACTTCTCATGGATGAGCTGCTCTGCTGCAATGGCTCCTGAAACAAACATCACTGAGACATATTGAGACACATATGATAATATATCATTAATAATAATAGTAATATTCATAATGATGATAATAATAATAATAGTAATAGTAATATTAATAATAATAGTAATAATATATACATATTATAAACTATGTTCATCTCATCTATTGTACTACTATACGATGTATGTATAATATATATATATTTATATTAGATATGTATGTACGTATATATATACATATATATGTCTATATTTCCAAATATTTCAATTTTTTACTTAGAGTCTAGTTGCGTGCATTAAAAGAATGCCACGATAATCTTCCGATTCTATCTCATCTGGATTCAGCTAGCGCCACCTTTTGGATGGGTCCGCGGGCATGTGCTGGCCTTTGGAACTTGAGGCCGGCGGGGTGGTGGACGGAAGCTAAGGGAAACAGAAAGGCAAACAGGTGGAGGAAGCAGCGAAAGACGCGCTTTGTCCAAAACTTCGTGTGCGATGGCAGGAGTCAAACGTCAAAAACGATCAAAAACTTATGCACCCACGATCTCAAGACCCTTCCTTGAGGCTCTGCGATCCAACGTGATTTAAGAGGAGAAACTGCGATCCAGGTCGGCCCCAGGTGTGCATTGAACCCTTGCTATAGCAAGGAAAGACTCCGGCTAGCTACATTACTTGCAACGGAACAAGAGAGAGAGAAAGGAAAAGATGGGAAAGTATAAGAACGTGCCACCATATGCAACATAGGATCTTGCAAGGCACGGTGAATTGTGCTCCTTTTGCGCTAATGACGAGGAACGAAAGAGAATCAAACAACGAGCTGGAAAAGACATGAAAGAACCGACCTGCTCAAATTCATAGAAAGGATGATGTATTGCTGCTGCCAAATCCATAGCCCCATGCAATTTGTCCTGCAAATCTCTGCAATTTTCCATGATTTGGTCGAAGGAAGGGTACTCCTGTGCGAGGAAAGCCCGGAAGGATATGGATGGCAACACTGCTATCTCCGCTCGTAGTGGACCCTGGTCATCCCCAATCAAGGAGAAACTTTGTGCCGCCAGCCGTATAGGTAGAGGTTGCATGAGGTGTCCTCTAGCATGTAGCACGAGTGTATCATGATTCAACATTTCAACATGATGCAGCATGATTTTACCGAGATCAGATGCAGCCCTGGCAGTGTCCTTCTGCTGCTTCCTGAACAGGAATCTGGCTGGCTCATGCTGGCTCAACCCTGTGATAGGTGGCGGGTAAACATTGTGAAGTTGGTTGAAGGCTGTCACAAATGTCACTTGTACGACTTGTAGTTGTAGCATGTCAACTTCTCCCCCAGGACTGTGAAGCGAAGCGGTGAAACGCTTTTAAAACGTCTAAAAAGAGCAAACGAGTTGAGACGCGTTCAGACTAGCGCGTACACCTGAGGCATCATGCCCTGCCCGCCTCAAGGCTTCAATGTCTGAACAAACAGCTGCCAAGGCATCCAAAAGCTCGCGCTTATCCTGATCAGCTTCAGAAGTTACGCCAACAAAGGAATTCGGAATAATTCGGAGTAAATTTGAAATGAAACCGATTTAAAACCATGGTTCCAAATGAAAGGCACACTTCAAACGTCTTGAACATGTTTGAAAAACCAGAATTTGAGGAACGACTAGATGTGATTGCGAATGGAACGACAGTGAGAATCAACAATAAAGTTCCTTTGGTAAAAAAACATCCACAATTCGAACCGAATAACAAGATATAACACGGTACACGATCATGTTCATCTGTGATGTCATCAGTCCTTCTGGGCTCGTGCTTCAGTCTCAGTCACTGCGGCGGCAAGGCCTTTGGACAGTTCCTGCCAAATGATTGTGATGTGCGATGCTGGCAATGTGAAGAGATGTGAAACACTCCAGGTGTGCCAAAAAAAAAGGGAAGGGGGCGAAAGCTGGGCAAGGAAAGAGAATATGTGGCACGACCTTTTGAATGTCGTTCTTTGAACTGAGACACGCTACAATATGTTGCTGACACACTCACAGCAGTGTATGATGATATTCTAGCTCGCATGCACCCTAGTCATTCCACTACCCTCCTCCTGACATCCTAGCATATCAGCGTCAACATTACGTTCCTAGTGCTCTGCTTGCCAAAAACAACATGCCCCAACAGAACGCGCTTCGGTTGAATCACTTTTCCTTCCTTGTTCCTGTCCGTGACATATATGTCTATGATGAATATATCTAAGTATCTCTATCTGCCAAGCTACATACCGATATATCTATAGTCTATGTGTATAGCTGTATATGTACAGATATATTTAATATCGGCTATACAAAAAACAGTCTTAGAATCTGGTAACTTCGGTCCATCGAGCAAGAAATGGTTGAGAATCTTAACATGCGCTTCTTCCATTCCTCGCCACGACCAGGTCTTGTTTTCATGCAGACCTCTTGAGGAAATGGAATGCAAGACTCCAAGTGATTGTTCTCTCATTACATTGCATTGCATTGAATTGCATTGAATTACATTCACAACACTCACGGTGCATATCATCTTGTATATGTGTGGGTGGGCATGCGGTTTCGCGTGGTCACAGATGAAACCCAGCGGGATGGACGCAGCGGGGTTTGATCCCCAAAGAGTCACAGTTCCACATGAAAGGTCATGGAAGCTGAATCCAGTCTGCCCCCAATTGCAGCAAATCCACGGCCTGGTAAACATACAAAAAGCGACATAGAAAATGGCCCAGTCGAAATTTGTGAGTTTAACCATTAATAGCATGGTGGTTTTCCATAGTTATGGGACAGTCATAGCCAGAGGGTAACCCAAATACAGCTACAGAGCCTAGCAAGCCTATCACTTTCGTGATATGGAAAGGTCATGGAGGCCTCCCACTGACGGTCAAGGTCTCCGCGCACCGCCACCAGGTCTGAGCCCCGCTCGCTACGCTCCGCCTTCGGAACAGTCGTTTTTTAGTCGACTCGTTATGGCCCGGGCATGGGACGTGCGACAGCAGGCAGGGGAAATATGGGAAATATTGGGAAATATCAAAACACTTTGGAAATGTCAAGTGTCATGAGCATCGTGTCGAAAGCCTAAGAATTCCAAAGTTGTGTTTGATGTTTCAAGCAAAGAGCAGATCGAGGAAGGAGGAAGACAGCTCTTTAGAGTACAACAAAGTCATGCCTGGTACTTATGCCATCTTGTATTAGTGTATTGATAGAATTATGAACTTTATTTTTGAACACTGATCTTAGTATCAGGTACCAGTACACTCAGTACACTATACTTTACTAACATAGGTAGCAACACTATTAATGTATATTAATGTATTATACTATCCATGTACTACTAAGTATTATTGTATTACTACCCTCTGGTAATTTAACATAGCTATTGAACATGACCATTTATAGTGGATTTTCCCATATAAAATGGTGATTTTCCATAGCTATGTTAGTTTACCAGAGGGTACTAGTAATTTATCATACCAATTTATAAAATCGGCATCCCAAGGCTCTGAAAGCTCCGAAAGACAAGTGATCCAAGCCATGCACTGCCCCTGCCATGCCCTGCCATGCCCTGCCTGCTGTCGCACGTCCAATTCACTGAGTGCCATACCTGACAGCAACTGTTGGTGCCCGTAAGTTTCACCAATGTCCCTCACCATTGTACACAGTAACACATAGATATGACATTTAAAAAAAAACACGACTTCTGGACGATCTTGATTTCCATCTCAGCTTTGTTCCTGACATTTCCTGACATATTGAATTGCGCATATCGCCTTTGCTTGAGTTTGAATCAAATCCTTCCTGTGCAGCAATCCAAAAACAGGAACTTTCTTTCTGACAAAAATCCCCTCTTTTGGATTCAAAAAAGTGGCTCCAAAAATGCAAAATATATCAAAATATGATTGAACCACTTGAGTGGCTCCAAAAGCTGGTAAATCTACGGTAGTGTTTTGGATTTTTTTGTCGACACCACCAGCGGTGCTAAGTGCAACGCTCACACGCGACTCCAGTCCAGCCATCTGCGCCTCGAGCCTGGAAATTTTTAGGCGATCCATCAGGTACCATCTGGTTATGACTAACATAGCCATGGAAAATCCCTAATAAATGGAGGTTTCTAGCTGGGAAAATCATCTATTTCTATGGGCCATTTTCCATGGCTATGTTAGTCATAACCAGAGGGTAAGTGAGCACCTTTTCTCACCTTTTCCTCCGGGTTCTTCTGAGGACAAGCTTCCAAAAAAAGATTGCCCAATGTCGTTGGTCCAGGATTCCTCCATGAAGGAAACAAAAAATCACGGCTGAGCCGACTCTGGACACTCCGAAAATCCGAGTGCGCGCCATTAACGTAGCCTCTAGCCGATCCCTTGCTCGCGGGAACCACGAAGACCACGAACTTTTCCAAAATGGCCCAAATGTTGCGAAATCAAATGGGAAAATCATATGGCATTTAAATGATTTTAAATGCGTATCCTGCATGCAAAGTAGACCAGCTGAGATGAACATGACCAAAAGTTCCCCCTTGATGAAGGGAGCATGGTCAAAACATGTCTGGCCGGTGTCTGTGTGAATGCCTCAGGTAGACACAGGAAAACCACGAGCCAGCTTCAACTGAGCATGGTGCCTTCAATTCAAGTCGCTTCAGGATTCAAAACTGAAGATGGAAGTTTCATCGATATCATCACTCAACTCATCACCAATTAGAGATACCATTCTGCCAGGATTGCGAAAAAGGCGTCATTGCGTCTAAACTTAGAGGCCTTGCGGCCTTGCGTGGAAGCCACCTACACTTCAAATGCCATATTGATCCATATTGCCAAATAAAACACGTTCTTCTGTCGTCTCCTCAACTTGCAATAGTCAGTGCTGCGCACCCATGATTGGGTATGGAAAAGCGCGTTCTCTCTTCAACAAAAATGAAACAAGGAGAATGTAGGAAAATCATAGCAAAAATTACTCAGAGCTTGCTGCTTTGCATGTGCTTGTCGTATTCTATCACCCTCAGGGTTTTTTTAGCAGCACTGCTGCAGTGAGCCGACGACTCGACCAAGGCAAGTCAGGGTGCCAAAACAGTTGAGCGATTTTCAATCATCATGACGTTGATCACAAAATCATAAATCAACAATTTGATCATGTTTTGTGGCAGCAAAATCCTCATGGAAATTCCTGAACTTCGAAACAAGATTTCCTGACATGGCCCCATTGACTTGACCAGAGTTTAAAACTGCGTGCAGTGGTGACATGGACAGGCGAAGCCGCGTAATCCAAACGCAACTGATCACAACAAACACACAGGGCAGGGGAGAGCAGTGAGAGCAGTATTTAAATGTCAGAATTATTAGATAATAGATGTACCCTCTGGTAATTTGTTACATAGCTATTGAACATGACCATAGAAATAGTTGATTTTCCCATTAAACATGGTGATTTTCCATAGCTTGTTGTATGTTTACCAGACATTATTCAGTAAATTTCAGTAAGTCAGGTGCCCTCCCAGCCAAGGTCTGTGCTGTCTACTGCGCAGCGCTACAGGCTCCGGCCACCTCTGGCCTTTAGAATCACTTGCCTGCAAAACGTGGCCGTGGCCAAGGCCTATCCCGCCCCACTTTTTTAGTCACAAGGAAAAGAGAAGCTTCGAAACATTTCCAAACCAAGCGGAATCTACCTGCGTAAACTCCTTAAGTAAGTGCCTTGCTTGTGCATTCAGGTATTTGAGCAACCGTTGCCTTCACTGACAAAGGAGTTGAAATCGTTGCAGTATCCAAAACGTGCCTCTTTTAGGTGGATTCACCCGCAAATACCACTTGGCGAACCTGGAACGGAATCTCTTCACATTCGTCACATTCTGAACACATCGTTTTGCGACCATTTATGAAGCATCAGGTAGTTTCATGTAATGACGTGGACATTTCACTCCGTGAAGTTATGATTCACTCGAGGAATTCTATACTTCTCAAGTTTGCTTTACATGTCATTGCAGCATATTCCAATAAGGACTAAAACCATCTAAAACCGGCGGGTTTTGCAATGACAGCAACTACAAATTACAATAATTACCAATAGGATGTAATACCAATAGGATCATTAACAATCATTACAGCCATTACAATAATCATCGGCCGATCAATACCCTCTGGTAAATTAACATAGACCCTGGCAGATGGGGGTTGGAAGACTAGTTTCCATTGGAAATTGGTAATTTTCAGGGTCTATGTTTATTTACCAGAGGGTAATTGTCAATAGTTACAATACCAATGTTAGCGATGTCAGAATCACGACATATCACGACCTATCGTAGGAAGCAGTGTGGAGATCCTGGAGAATGGTCTGAGCGCTTTGCTCCAGCAAGTCAATTGCGCCATTGTGGTCTTCGTCCACCTTGCCCGCGGAGAAAACTAACATATGTGCTGGGAGTACTGTAACATCATGCACAATTGTTATTTAAATATTTAACATTAACAAATAGATACAAATAGTAAGATATATCAAGGGAGGTGACAAAAGATCATTTTCGGTGCAGGATTGTACTGGATTCTACTGTATGACGTATACTGGCGGGTGGCATGTCTAGCAGGAAAATTACGTTTTGAAACACATCGAGCAAGTCCGCAACATAGATCTATTATGATCTATTTATATCTATTGAGTATATTTTTTTTATCTTAATATGATTTAATATGATGGTATATGATGCTATGTCAATATGATTGCATGTGGGATTGTACAAAAACCCGGTATCTTTCTAAATGACCCAAAATCACGTTATCGTTTTTTTTTACTCTTGTCGTTTCCTCAGGTGGTGAGCTCCCTGTAGACAAGAAGTGTGATTTTTCCAGCTTTCTGTGGGTGTGAAAGCATCCTTGGTCGAGAGTCAACAGATGTCGTCTTTTGTTTTCATTTCCTTTCATCACCTTCCATGTTGCATTCATTTCCTCTCATGTTCCTGTCATTTTGATTTCATGTCTTTCATGTTCCGTCGCTATCAAAGATACAGGTCTTCGAAAGCTATGCTCAAACCGGTCAGGTGATGTCAGGTGTGTATCCGCCCAAACGTTTTATGCGTTGTTTTTTCATATTATGTCGTCTAGTCGTTGTTGTTATCGTTTAGCTATCGTTTTCGAGGCCTGTGCAGGTTGCCATCTTCAGGCTTCATGAAAATGCGAGCTGGCAGTGTTAAGGTGCAAGCCAAGCTAAGATTTTTAATGCCCGGGCTGATTACACTATCCCATGTGTATATGCATCAGTACACAAGCCGGTATCAGTACTGATTGCAAACTATCTAAAACTTAGCACAGTCATCACTGATCACCAAGGATCTGCCTCTTCCCATAAGATGCGGAACCTTGACTCAACCACCTGACAAGGCCCAACAACTCAAGCGCCAACCACGTGAGAAGACACGGAATCGAATGTATTGCGTTCTTAGCGTGCAGCAAACCTTGAAGCCTAGCATAGCATTGCGCAATATTGCGCACTTCCAATTCAAACACAAACATATTCAATGCATACTCAAAAGTTTCCGCAGAGCCAGAGAGCCTCCAAAGGGTCAACACCGACAAGGCCCGCATAGCATGCAGCAAACTCTTGCTGGTCCAAGACGCCACTCCTGAGTGCACGGTAGCGCACAAAACACAATAGTTTCAACACCACAGAAATCCACAGAATGCACATGTCAATGCAATATCTTCAGCAATTTCAGAGTTCAATTTACAAGTTCCCTTTCTACATGTCAATGAAGTGTCTTTTGCGGATGGAAGTTATCTCTCTTTATCTCTCTTTGTATCGTCGATGCGTCCAAGACTCGAATCTTTATCAGCTTTTTCGAACGCAGCTTTCACCCGCTCCACCTTAGAATCTACATCACAAATAATATTCAACCGTCTGCCACCGGTAGATAACGTGATATAACGTGTATGTTGTGGTGTTACACACTTTAAGCACACCGGGACATACAAATTACATACAAATTACTATAGCAATCTATAGCAATCTATAGCAGCTATTTGCACCAACACTGGGTTTCAGCCCCCCCCTTCTTGTTGTGTCTCAGCGACATCACTAATGTGATAGCCTTCCGTCTTGCAGAAATGCCTGACCCGCCGCTCCTGCGCGGGGCACACAAACGACACAAACGATGCTGACTTACCCTCTGCTTATGACTAACATAGCTAGTGAAAATGGCAATTTCTAGTGGATTTACCATGATTTACCCATTGATACCCATTGATACCCATTGATAGCATGGTGGATCTTTCCATCGTTTTTTGTAAACGTTTACCAGGCCGGGTACATAGGGTACCAGATGGGTTTGAACTGCGCCATGAAAGCGCCATTGCGACATCGCAAGCGACTTCAGTCCAGCGGATCTGGAACCATGATTTCTTCACTCCATTGATGGCTATTATACCTTGGAATCCGCCAAGCAGACTGGAAAAACCATGGAAAACACCACCGCGACCCTTGAGCCTTGAACTATGCTTGAACTATGCCAGAACTATGCCAGTTAAACGCCACACAGTGAAAAGAATGGACTGCACGTGATCTTTTGACCTGCAGACCTTGAATTTTGTCATCAAAAAAACGCTAATTATATGAGCCATGGTCAATACTCACTTTGAATGGTTGATGGTCATCCCATCCATAATATTCGGATCCAAAAATCATGGTTATGAAATAAATCCCATTATATAAATCACGATTGGATGACTAGCCCCTATTATATAATGGTTATTAACCATGAGTATTGACCATAGCTGCCATAGCTCATATGATACGCCACTGTCCCAGCTGCATCCACTGGCATCCCTCTGGTTATGTCAACAGTTTGCTATTGAAAATGGCCATAGAAATAGTGAGTTTTCCCATGAAAAATGGTGATTTTCCAGTTCGCTTTTTGTAAACGTTTACCAGAGGGTAAGCATGACACGCCACTGGCCACTGGCATCCCTTTGAGGCTCCGACCATTCCAAAAAATCATCTTCAGAGAGACAGGTCTCCTTGGACCACTCTGGATCCAGAAGGTGGCCAAGTGGCTGATTCTCATCAATGCCACTGAACTGACCTCGGGCTGAGTGTCGTTCTCAGCATTGCCGTTTTTTTTTTTAACAACACAAATGATGCATGGGCTGATTTATGTTTATATAACAATGTTTAAAATGCATGTGTATGTGTATATATATATATATCTAACAACCATATTTATAATACAATACAATACGATATAATATAATATAATATAATATAATAGAATAGAATAGAATTAAATATAATACAATGTAGTATAATATAACATCACAAAACATAACATAACATAACATGATCTGATACAATGTCACATAATAAAACATAATATAATATGACATAATATAGTATAGTATAATATAGTATAATACAACATAGTAATAGTATAACATAACATAACACAGTATAATGTAATGCAATGTCATATACAGTAGAATATGTTTTGAGTATGAATCTGATTCTCCATTGGATGAAGCCTGTAGACAGACATCTTCATCAAGATAAAGGAGGCTGAACGGACAAGACCTTGAACCTCTTTGGGGCCGAACAAGGCATAACAAGACTGTATGGCCCATATGGGGATGGGTCAAAACCCTGTACCCCTGTAGTTCACATCAAAATAGCTGGGATTTATGGATGTTCATCCCACTAAAAATGGTATTACATAATAGGTATTGATCCATTCCCTAATATGGCAATGTCACAATCCTTGCCAAGAAGCAAAGCCAGTTCTTCAGACCTTGAACCGGTAGGAGCTCAGCCTGTGAACCGCAAAATCTTGGACGCAGTGGAATGATAAAAAACCGTCGTTTTTTTAAGTATCGAACTAGACATCTTCGATCTTCACCGTTTGGTTCTGCGTATTTGGGAGCGACAATGTCCATTCCCATTTGCTTTGACATGCTTTGACCCATTCTGCCACTATCTTGACCAGTTGCTTCCACAGTGAAAACACCTGGCTTTGAAGTTCGAACGGAGTTCCGATGTGTTCCGATGTGTTCCTTTTTCACTGCACGTCTGACATCCCAAGACCAATAAACCTGTGATTGCTCCACTGGCATGGAAAGGTTTGGAAAATTCTACAGCAAAACAAACAATTTACATCAATTAAAACAATGTCTACGCCTACTAGCGACTCCTTTGTTGAGAAATGTCAAACAGAAACTACCCTCTGGTAAACTAGCTATGGAAAGGGAAAATCCACTATTTCGACTGGGCCATTTTCTATGTCGCAAACTGTCAACGTTTACCGGAGGGTAATGTCATGAAACCGGGAAGCCCATGATCCCCGTAGCCTCATCATCCTCAGCATCCTCCGGATCACGATATCTCTCCAGGGCTGTCTTGTAGTATCCCATCACTCTTCTCACTTCCTCTTCCTGAAAAAAAAGCCCTTCAAAAGCCGTTCAAAGGGAAGGACATCAAAGATCAAAGGATATAGTTAGGACCATAAATGGGTTTGTCTGAAATTGTTGTGTACCCCTACACCCAATGGTTAATGATCATTATCCCTACTAAATGGCTATAATTGGGGGTATACCCCATTTTCAGACATACCCAAATCATCAGGCTTGTATGATCTTCTATGCCACGAATATGGTCTAGAGAACTGGTATGACCCCAGTTCTCAGCAGGGGATTGCGCCGCCTGCAAACAGTTCAGCACGTGCTGCAACCGTACTGCAAGGTGAAGAAGGTGATTGGCTAAGATCCATGAATGGATCCCACAAAAAATGAATGGCATTTTATTGACTTACTGGTGCTTAGTCGGGAATGGACCGGAATGGGGGAATGGGATGATGATTCATAGTTATTGTTGATACTTATTGATACTTATTGATCATTCCCCCCATTCTCTGCTAAGCACCAGTAAGTTGAACTGTTGGATGATGCTTCCAAGCTGCACTACTAAAGGCAAACCTCTTGATGATTCTCTTGACACCTCGCTTCAGAGGTCATCGGACATCATGGACTGGATCTATCATGGACTGGGGGTTCCAATTGATGGGGTTACCTAAAAATGGGTGGTTAATGGAAACACCGATTAGAATGGATGATTGGGGGTACCCCCCCATTTTAGGAAACCATCATTTAAGACAAAGCATACACTTTGACGTCTCTCACCATCACCCAGTATAGAACTCTTTACAACGCACTGCGATTTTCAATGCATTGCATGACTGCAAATGGATGGAATGGTGGAGACTCTAGTACTACTATCAACAGTAGTACCCCTTGATACTTTTTGACACCTGAACTTGCCACCTGAATGTTTCTCCAGAATCTTGCAAAGGCCATGAAATGCTGTATCTATGGAACATTCCAAGTTTTCCACGAAGATACGGAAACACACAACCACAAAAACCAAAGAAACACAGCCTGTTTCAGTTTCAATCTTTAAAGATTTTAACCGTAATTTATAGCGTTGTAAAACACCTGACTTGAGTCTCTGGCGCTCTTCTTCTGGCTCCTTGTGTTCAAATTTGCAACGGGAAAGACTGTGCAAACTCACACCACTCACAGCTGAATCTGAAGCATTGTCAGTGTGTCAGTGTCAGCGCTTTGTTAATCCTGCCTTGATTTTCAATTCTGGGGCTAAAGGCCTTGGTTTTTTTTGGGTTTGAGCGTCTTGCGAATCAAACTCGTGATAGCACGACAAGGTCAAATGTTCAAACCTCCAGCGTTTTTTCACCCACCACGCTTCTGTCAAATATGTGCCACCGAATTGAACATGTGCAATAAAAACAGAAACTAAGAAAAAACCATGCTGTCATTTCTCGATATTTTTCTCCAAGTGGCATCACGTCTGGCGGAGCATCTTTATTTTGCCTCAAGAATCGATCTCTAGTTTGGACAAATCTGGAAAACCGAAAAAAAACATGTGCGAAAAATGATTCAAAACCAAAATGCGAAAATCTCTGTGTAGTGTGTACCCTCTGGTTATGTCAAAATAGCTATTGAAAATGGTGATTTATAGTGGATTTTCCCATTAAAAATGGTGATTTTCCATAGTTATGTTAGTTTACCAGAGGGTAGTCGTATTTGTCTCACAGAGTCCAGGAAAATTCCGATCTGCGTCTTGTCACTCCCCACCTGAATGCCACAAAAGTCATGCGGTTCTTTGTCATTAGAGACCTCCGACCGCCCTGGCACAAAATGGAAATTTCATGGAAACATGAATAATATTGAAAATGTTTATGATGAAACAAGCACACGCAAATGTAGATAATTGATGAATGAAATTTAGGTTAAATTGGAAACAAGGCAGCTCAGGATGTCTCTTTCAACTCACTCACATTCAGCCCTGTTGCATCCTGTTGCGATCGAGGATACAATAAAAAGGCGAAGGATTACCAACATCGGTGGAACAGCTGAGCCTGAGTTTCATGTCATTTCATTTTTTCCGACGACTTCAAGTACGTGCGGCAGATTGCAATGGATTATAATAGGTGTCCGATAAATAAATATATATATATGCTATGTGACACCGTTGTGTATGTATACATATAACAAATGTATAGTTCGATGTAACATGGATTATAATTATGCGCATCTAAAACCGAAGGAAGTTTAGAAGTCAAACTTCCGACAATATGGACAGATGGAAAAGCAGAGGTGGGAAGAGTCAGAGAGGAGAAGAGCAGAAGAGACAAGATCAGAGAAGAGAAAGAATGAGAAGAAAATAAATGCAGGTGCGCGAAAAGGTAAGAAAGTCGCGACGCACTGTGTTTTTCAAATGATTTGTGGCTCCGGAGGATCGAAAAGTAGGCTCGCTAAAGCGGCAGGTGCGAAGCCATCTGGCCAGATGAGAGATGAAAAATTGCACTCCGTTGTGGCGCGAAGCACATTTCGAAGTCAAGATGTGCAAGCCACACCAACTTCGGAGCACTTTTGGAAGTTGAGATGTCGAAAAAGTACACGCCGCTGTGGCGCGAAGCACGTTTCCAAGTCAAAATGCACAAAACACACCATTCTCGAACCACTTTTGGAAGTTGACATGTCGAAAAAGTGCACACCATTGTGGCGCGAAGCACATGTCGAAGTCAAAATGTTAAAAGCACCACATGTTCGGACCACTTTTGGACGTTCAGATGTCGTTTCGCGTGGCATGCGCAAGGGATTGTGCACCTTGTCAAAGATCAGCAAAAGGTGAGGGTTTTGTGGCATTTACAAAAAGGATGGCAGGCATGGGGCATTTAAAGAAGATCTGGAAAGTTGCATTTCGCCTGGCAGGCACAGTACAAAAGACATGTTCATCAGATATGTTAGGAGGTCAGGGCGCTGATTTCCTGAGAAGGGTTGCATTTTGGAGCATCAGATCTTCAGGTTTGCTAAGTTGATTTTGCGTGACAGGCGCGGCACTTCGTATGACCTGGCATCACTTTTGCATGGCAAGCGCAGCACTTTAGACAGATGGAGTGGAAAAATCGCAACACTCATTGGTACGAGGCCGTCAGCTCTGCATTCAACTTTCCATGCTTGAAGGAAGTCTCGCAGAATTGCTTCGTTTTTGATGTTGTCAACTTGAAACATTGAGGAAGTCTCGCAGGATTGCTTCCTTTTTGATGCTGTCACCTTCGAAAATGGAGGAAGCCTTGCAGACTTGCTTCTTTTTCGAGCTTGCAGATAGAAAGAAAGATAGATAGATAGATAGTTAGATAGGTAGACAGAAAGATGGCTAGATAGACAGACGGACATATAGAAGATAAACAGACAAACAGATAGACAGATAGATAAACATATATACAGATAGACAGATAGCTAGACAAACTGCAACTTAACTACAGCTACAGCTACAACTACAACTATAGCTACACTACAGCTACATCTACAACTTCAACTACACTTCAACTACAACTACAACCTCAACTGCACTTCAACTACAACCACAGTTACAACCACAACTACAACTGCAGCAGCAAATACAACTACAACTACAACAGCTACTGCAACAACACTACAAGTGCAACTACAGCTGCAACTACAGCTACAACTTCAACTGCACTACAACTACACTACGACTACAACTGCCCTACAGCTACAACTATCACTATACTACACTACACGACGCTAGACTACAACTACAATTACAACTACAACTGCAACATTACAACTACAACGTTACAACTACAACAGCATCAACTACAACAACATCAACTACAGCTGCAGCTACAACTTCAACTACTACAACATTAACAATTACCACTACTCTACAGTACAACTACAACTACAACTGCACTACACTACAACTACAACTACAGCTACAGCTACAGCTACAACTACAGGTACTACAACTACTACAACTACAACTTCAACTACACTACAACTACAACTACACTACAACTACAACTACAAGCACAACTACAACCACAACTACAACCACAACTACAACTACAACTACAACATTACAGCTTCAACAACATCAACTACACTACAACTACAACTACAAATACACAACAACTACAAATATATTGCACTTCGCTACACAACACTACATCCTGCAGTTGTGTGCGAGGTGACCACTGCAACTCCAAAAATCACCATCACCTTTCGGTCCATCAGTGGATTCGCTCTGCCATCCATGCATCACAACAACTCACCTCTCCTAGAGTGTCCTATCCTTGAAACTTCCGCCACCGCCGACCGTGCGGTACTACTGGATCTACTGGTATGGACAGCGGTGTATACAAACAGTATACACCAACCTCAACAATCCACCAACAAAGATGGTCTGCAATGGTCATGGTCTGCCTGCCCATCCAACTGGTCGGTTGTTCCTGGGGTCGTGACTCGAAACATCTTGAAACATCTCGAAACGCTGGTGGCGGCTTCATAATCTCCAGAACACTCTATCGACGTAATCGACTCAATGTCTCTTTTGAATGTCAATTGCAAAATATCATAAAAAATCATAAAATATCACTGTAATTCATTGATTTTTCAGTCACACGTGGCACTCGTTGCGTGAAAAACATCGTTCCTTGCCTGGATGATCAGGTCGCGGGCGCTCCTTCATTGCTACAGCCTGGATGCCCAATGTGTGTTGGCAGTCGGTCTGCTTTAGAAACGTTGAACGATGTCGAACGGACTGTCACACAGGATGGGGCCCCCAAGATAGCTAAGTTGCCTTATAAGTGGCTTAACTATGGTTTATGGTAGATATAACTATAGTTAATGGGTGTTAATGGTGGTTATAATGGTACAGAAACATCCCTTTCTGATCACCGATGTGCTGTCCAGCGGCAATGCTTCCACGAGGAAGGACTGTTCCACGGTGCAGCATGCTTCCGCGAGGCAGGATCGATTGCTCAACGGGGCCTTTGTTCCTGGAACGGACAAAAATGCCACGATCTATCATCCTGCCACATCCCCAAGCTTTCAACCACTCCGGAGGTGCCAAGTTCCAAATGGTGCACAAACATGGGTCATGACTGATGTCCCCATTGAACATCACCCAACCATGAATGGTATATGGTCTACTAGATGGCTACTATAAGGTGATGTCCAATATTCCCAAAATGGGACAGTTGCCAACCCCTGACAAATTGCCGGAGTCTTCTTGTCACAAGATCGCTGTGTCACAGTGCATGTCTTTCGGCAGGGTGTCATGCACCTTGTGTAATTCCAACATATTCCAACTGTAGCTCACTCAGAGACGACCCTATCAATTGAGAGCTGGCCAGCAAAACTATACTGCAAAATCCGACATCACTATCCATGCAATCCCATGCAGTTCCATACGTGTCGGATTTTGGAGCCCTTGTGGATCCTTGGCACTGAGCATTGTCCTATGCATGCTTTGTCTCACCCTCACACCCTCATCCCTGGTGTCCCAAGGGCACCTCGTTTCCTTCGAATTGGAGATTATGTTTTGCCTTGTGAGTAATGTTCAACTTGGACCGCGGAACAGACTGTCGTATGACAACGATTATTAATTTACTATAGATATGCGATGTTACGCGCATTGTTACTACAGCATACTGTATACTATAGTATCTATAGTATACTGTACTTGACCTAATTTGCGGTTTGGTGGCGAAGGACATCATCTTGATCTAACTGTTGTGGCAAGCATGCAATCAGCTGGCACAACGAGGGCCAAAACAAGTCCCTCAATTTGTGCCCCACCAGATCCGCGGCACTTCAGCGGCATTTCAGAATATGTGGTAAACGATGCGAAGCAACAACTGAAGACTGACCCCACTTTAGGACAACAGTCAAAAACAGTAGTCAGGCAAAACATGACAACAGTCTACTCAACACAGCATAAACATGCAAAAACCTGTTTTGCTTTCCAAGTGACCTTGTTGGCACAGTCAACATCGCAGAATCAACCTGCGAAATTTCTCAAGTGCCACAATTTCAGCTAACTCCTTCGGCTATGGACTTGGTGGTTTGCTCATAGTTTGCGCAAAATTGAAGTTTCAATAGGATACGTGGTAAGTCATGGCAAATCCGTCCAAACCCGAAAAACTCAACATCATTCAACATCTATAATAGGTTGTATGGATGTACACCGATGAAAGTCAGCAATTATGCACATCTTCATATTCGCGCATTTCGTTTTGCCCTTCCAATTTGGGGTCAATCAGTGTGGAATGGCCATGGCAATTTAAGATTGATGCCGTGTCTCTTCGGCGTCGCCTTTTCTGTCGTTGGATCTGTTGGATCTCTGCCGTGAATCACCTCCCGACCGCGAGCAGACAACCTGAGCGAGGACTCAAGGACTGCTTTCTGAATTCACCCAGCAAAGAGTCCACTCAAAAGTGACCATGCGCAGGGGGATGATACTTGGGTGATGCACTGCAATTCTGCGTCCTGAAACAGTGGATTCGCTAATATCCTTCCCCAGTTCCCCAGATTCAAATAGATTTCATGTCTCAATATGGTATGAGATCTGAGATCAACCCCAAGTGGAGCACAATTGTTGCTGTTCCCAGGCAGGTCACGCTCCAGACGGCCTGTGACTTGCCTGTGCGCTGTGGAGGTCTAGGTGGTACTCAGTTCTACATGTTTTACTTGAGCATCACTTATTGAACATGACTGAACCAGAGTTCAGCAACAAGACAAGAAAAAAAGGTACAACGTGGTACAACTTACAAATGAGAGTGGGAAGCCAGTAAGATAAGAGCAGGATTACAGCAGTTGAACATGCACCTGACATCATGCGACATTTGCCAACTTGGCCCGCCTGGGGCAGAACTTGCCTCTCTGTCTTTGCCTTTCGAGAAAAACCACTGTCCCAATCTGTCCCAATCTGTCCCATACTGTCCCTTGTCTTTTTCGTATGGTTTCATATGGCTTCAAAGGGTCCCGCATTGCTTTATGATCTTTCTGTTTTGTCCGCCCACCTGCTCCGTGGCGGCTTTTGCCGAGAGCAAACCGGCCTCAAATGGGGAAAGTATACGAACAATTCCGAAACTACATTATCCATCTATATATTAATTGATGTATATATTCAATACACTAATAATATCCGCCGACCCCTGCCGTTGCCATTGCAGGGGGAGGCGCCCAAGACAGCGAAGCATCGGCAGCGGTCTGTTCCTTCTTCACTGGCAGGCAGTTCAGGAGCTGGCGGCGCCACGACCTAGCGGCCCTTCGAGAAGCCTTCCGTCCACTGCCATGCTGTTAGAGCGTGGCGAGGGGTGCTTTTTCCCGGGCTGCTCTTTTCTATATATCTATCGATCGATCGACCGATCGATCTATCTATCGATCGATCGATCGATCCATCGATCCATCTATCGATCTATCGATCTATCCATCCATCCATCCATCTATACATACATATACATTAAACTTATTTTTGTATTCTGTCACCATGCTCCTTTCTTTCCACTGTCATGCCCCTGATAAAGGGGGGTCGGCGGCACCAGGGCGGTAGCCCTACTTACTTATAATCTTATACTAACCAAAAAATACTTAAAATCTCAGTGTCAACAAGCTGCAGCCGCTGTACCCTCTCATGAAACGGTGAAACAGACTATTTGTCAGAAGGGAGTGTGCACAAATGATCACAAAATATCACACATGTAGTTGTATCATAAGTTTGAGAGATGCAAAGTAGTGCGTGAGCATGACGTCTAGACAGATTCTTGGCAGAGCGAAAACAAAAGTAAGCAGCGCATCAAAAATCCCCAGAACTACCTCCATCCAAACGTACTGCAATGATCCACAGGGTAAATCGGGAAGTTTTTCGAAGTTTTTCAACTGTGATGCCAAGAGACTGGACGCGAGCTCAGAAGGGCCATCATATCTTGGCAAAAGCAAGGCATTCAATCCACTCTTCTTACAACACACAATGAGTCAATGAGTTCAAAGTCTTCAGTGGCTAATATTTTCGGAGGCGTTCTATGTCTTTATCATTCTTTATCCGAAACAGCACAACAGCACAAAACTTTCTGCTCTTCATCTCTGAGGCTGCTACTAGTTTCTAGATTTATACAGATCATTTCATCATAGTTCATCATCTTTCCATCATTTCAACCAGACATATCATCGAAATTTGGTTACTATTACTATGGTTATCATATCATCGAAATTTGGAAAAACTATGGTTACTATGGTTATACTAACATATATGGACCATTGAAATAGATGGTTTACCTATTCAACACATTTAAAAATGGTGATTTTCCATCGTTTTTTGTATGTTTACCAGAGGGTAGATGATATTATCATTGGATTGGTTTAAGGAAAAATTTACACCGGAAAGCCCTATGAATTTGATGGTAAAAACCTATGATATTCTCCTGTAGATATTACTAACATATTTCTGCAGATATTTCTGCTACGTATCTCCTGGACCGAGCCACGGCGTTTCGATCCACCATGGGAGGCGATGGCGCTCTCGGCCACTTGCCGCCGCAACAAGGCGCTCTGTCGAGACCTGCACGGACGGACAGACGGACCAAAAAAACGGGACTTGGCCCATGTTTAAAGGTCGCTAGAGAAGAGAAAAAGCTAGGTTTATATCATGGAAGATCTAGTAATATGTGAAAGTATATGATGCTAGTAATATCATGTAATATCTAGATCTGAAATGATCCAAAATTGATCTGAAATGATCCAAAATTCATGTGAACTTGAAACTGAGCTGGGAACAAGGCAAGTTTTTGTTGCAACAAGGCAAAGCAAAGCAAGTCAAGGCAAGTCAAGGCAAGTCAAGGCAAGTCAAGGCAAGTCAAGGCAAGTCAAGGCAAGTCAAGGCAAGTCAACAAGTTTGCAAAACAGGTTGCTGGAAGTGCGAGTGATTGTTCGGGTCTTTGGCTTGCAACAAGTTGAAAAAGACGTCAACAAGATCCAGCAGCAGTTGAGATACTGTCAACAAACGCAAGAACAGTCAAGAAATGTCAAGAAGGTATTCTGGACCGTCTTGAAGGTTGCGAGAAGAGTCCTACATATCTGCTGCCTCCTGACACTGACACCGCCCTCCTCACTTCCCATTGCCACAGCTGCGACGGCGCATTGCGACCCACTCGACGAATGTGCAGAATGCTGCAGAACCACAACTCCCACGACGAACGAGTCTAGAACATATTGCAGCTTTATATTGGGGTAAAAATGGCTACATAGGTCCTAGAATTGTGGTGTGGTGGTGTGGTGTGGTGGTGGCATCTGACCGCAAGGTCTAATGTAGGGTAGTGGAATGTAGTGTAAGGTAGCTTACAGGCGCGCATTGGTGTCAATGCTCTCATGACAAGAAGATAATGAACCTACATGAATCTGCATTTTCACAGGCATTTTTACACGCCTTTTTTCAGCATAAAATGACATCATAACTGTTGATATTAGTGGTGTTTTTTAAGTGACAAAAACCAGTGTTTTCTGTTGGTTTTTGTTTTTTCTCTGCTGATGTCTGTTCTGAAAGTTGTGAAAAATCCATGGATCATCTGTGGATATCCATGGTGAATTGTGAAAAAGCGCAGGACCGTCTTCTTTGAAGACGTCGCTGGAGCCACAAGTTCCACAAGTCAGGTCATGGGCAAAGTCACCGTGGAAATGCCGTGGTTAAAATCCATGGGATTTTTTGTTTTTGTTTAAGGATACCCGGCCTGGTAAACGTTTACAGTTTGCGAACTGGAAAATCACCATTGAATCATTGAAATAGTGGATTTACCCATTAATAGCATGGTGATTTTCCAGTTCGCTATGTAAACGTTTACCAGAGGGTAAAATTGGTAAACTGTTGTTGCAAATTTATGGAAGCAAGAATATCTACAATTGATAGTAGAGTACCTGTGAACATTCACTGAATCGACTGACCAATGATGTGCTCCGCAGGTTCTTCGCAGGTTGACTTCCCAGCTCCCTCAAACTCAACCCTGCCTCACGGCCATATCCACTGCATCTACAACCTACCGTTTGGTGGGCGGCTTGCTATGTCTCAGCTATGTCTCTCTCTCTCTCTCAATGATCGTGGCTTGGCGGGTTTGCTCTTTCAACCGGCCGATATGAAGACTTAATATAAATATATATAAATTAATGGTAATCAGAAATCAGAATTATATATACAAATACTTGTTGTGGCATCGCATGCCATCGCCACCTGTCTCTGCAACTGCTCCGACCTCACTCCATGAATTGCGCGAGTCCGATTCTGTTTCTGGATGAGGTTCATCATGGCTCATCCAAGATATCCAAGTTGGGGAGTTGGGATATGTTGGGATACCATGCCGAATACAGAAACCCGAGACATTGGCAAGGATTGCAGAGCTCGTGCTGCTTCTGCCTGCGCAAAATGTGAACCGGTGCACCGCCAAATCTTGCGAAGTCTTAGATTGCATGGAGCCAGTTTAGGTGTCAAAAGATTGAGCCACTTTGGCGCATTGAAGAGAAGGATAACGATTGCGGAACTAAAAAAAATAATTAGACCATATTTAAACATGTATAATAGGCCTTTAATAGACATTTAATGACATTTTATAGTCGACTATAAATATATATATATATCCTTTCAGATTTCTAGCGCTGTGTTTATGGCCTCTGATTGTTCGAGAGCAACTGTCCACAGGTTACGCTCATCTTGCAGTCGCAACTCCAGCTGTTTCGGCAGGACGGAGCTAGCCTTCAGCATCACAGACTGTCAGACGCTTTCTGGTTGATTTAATTTGATATGAAAACCCAAACTGGTTTTGAGTACAGTACTTCCTGAGCATCATGAGCATCATCGTTGACTTAAAAAAAAAACGTATGGTGATGTCGGGTAACAGCGTCGGATGAATTCGGTCTTCTTTTTTCAAGCACTGTTAAACGGTAAGAGATATCAGGGTTTTGCATTGAAACAAACCTGGCTTGAAGACTCATGCTGAAAATGCTTGAATGAATGGCAGGGAGACATCACCAACATTTGCCCATCCTGAGGCGAAGAGTTTCTTGCCAATGCGGCTGCCTCAAAAGGTGCGGCCCAAGCATAATAGCAACTACACATATGGGTATGGGTCAAAATTAGGTACCCCAATAATTGGATGGTTAATACTAGTCACTAGACAAACTCACATCTGTGGTCCCATTAATGGTCTTCCATTTTGACCCACATCCATATGGTTTGGTATTCCGTATGTGTGTGTGTGCTTCCACTGTTTGGTGACGCTGTAAGTTGTTTGAAAATATGCAGCGTAGAGCACAGCCAGAAACTCCCATGGCCGAGCGACACTCACAATTCAGGCTGGCAGAGAAGGCCCAAACTATGCCATACGAGACATGAATCATGTTTACCCTCTGGTAATTTAACGTAGCTATGGAAAATGACCATTAATAGTGGATTTTCCCATTAAAAATGGCCATTTTCAATAGCTATGTTAAATTACCAGAGGGTAAATCGTATTGACACCAGTGTCTTTTAATATCTTTGAATGCAATTCTCAAAGCAAACCTATTTAATATTTTTCCATAGATCATCTTAGATCTGTTGGGGGCACGACCTGCCCTGTAGAGCTGCTACATCACAGCTGCCTCGTGCAGTTCTTGCCGACTGGCCAAGTAGGGAATTTGCACTTGCCTCAGTGGAAGCTCAGCATGCCTACGTTTTTGTGTGCGTGTCTGTGTCTGGATGTTACCCTCTGGTAAACGTTTACATAGCTATGGAAAATCAATGAAAGTCACCATGCTATTAATGGGTAAATCCACTATTTCTATGGCCATTTTCAATAGCTTTGTGTATGTTTACCAGAGGGTAATGAGTCTTGCCAGTCTTGCTGTCACACCCTGAGAATGAAATAGAATGAAAGAAAACTCAATGTGCGGCTACGGATTGATGCTAAGTCGAGAGGATATTGTTGATCAATTGGAATTTGCACAATTTTTCGTGCCTATGCTGATCATTGAGAAAATGCCAACTATTAGGTGAACTTTCAGCTTGGATTTCTTCAAACAAGCTTCAGATTGCTTCCAAGTCCTGTCGATTCTCTTAGAGTGATTTTTCTGCATTTGTGAGTCTTCTCACCATAGGAGGGGTGGACTATGGATACTATGGTGGACTTCTAGGAATGGACCACTGCGGATTCCCGAAACAAAATCATGCTCCAAAAGTTCATCCGAGGGCGACATCGCCAAGTCACATTGACCTGGGCAAAATTCACCGAGACGCGATGCCCGAAAAAAAGGCCGTTGCTTAACCGTTAGAAGATCTAGCCTCTGGTAAACGTGAAGACAGTTTGCGAATGATTTTCACATGGCCCAGTCGATTTATAGTGAATTTTCCCATTGAACATGGTGGATCTTTCCATAGTTTTTTGTATGTTTACCATTTCGGGTACACTGCAGCTTTGGAAGAATGCCACTGGTTCGGTGCGCTGGCACTTTGGCCCATTATCTGAGCCAGAATGGCTCGAGACGGATGCCGGCATCTTGGAACAAAAAAAACCATGGTCCGATAGTGCAAACTCAACAGATAACATAAGTAAACTAAGTAAACTACATCACACCCTCCAAATTCCTAACAGGAACAAACCCATGGCCCATATGTCGTGATATATGTCACGCTTATGTTTCACGATCCGATCATAGTCATTGACAATGATGACAATGATCATGACAATGATCAAATATATTTCATGTTGACTACATATCATATAATATTAAATAACATATCAGAATATCATCAAATATGATAGATAATCAAATATCATCAATTATCATAATATTAAATAACATATCATCTTAAATATGATAGATAAATATGATAGATAATCAATATTATTATCATAACATATCATAACAACATTCAGAAACAAAGAAAGCCGTGGATTCATTCGGGCAACCGCACTTCGCCATGTTCCACTGGAATGACCTCGTCCAACTTGCCGTGGATGATCAAAGTTGGTGATTTCACCTCAAAATCACCAGAATCAATGGATTGGTTGAAGGGAAAATCTACAGGTAATACCCTCTGGTGGACTATGGATACCCTCTGGTAATTTAACATAGCGAACTGGAAAATCACCATGCTATTAATGGGAAAACTCACTATAAATGACCATTTTCAATAGCTATGTTAGTTTACCAGAGGGTAGAATCACTAGATCAATGGATTGGTTTAAGGGAAAATCTTAACCGGAAACCATGGATTTTCCCATTAAATATGGGGCTTTCCTGTAAATTTTCCCATCATCCAATTCTATGAACTAGAAAATCACCAGAAAATCACCGATGAAAAAAGGAGTGCATGGATGATATGGATGATATGGATGGTTGTTTCGCTAGCATCTTCCAAAAATCATCCTTTGTCGAAAATCCAAAGGATATTCTGTGGAGCTATGTCGAGGTCCAAGGATATGGTTTTTCGTCTGATCTGATTCACTGTAGAGATGAGGAGTTGGTACTTGGTCCAGAATATCTTGTGAATTCTTGTGATCCATTACACTTTGAAACAACAGGAGAGTCCCTTGTTTCGATCCAAACCAAGCGCAACACACTTTTTCACAGCAGACTAAGCTGCAAAAGGTTGCGAACAGCTGTCTGTTTCAGGCACAAGATCTTATGAGGAATAGCCATGGCTGCCATCCCACCCAGCAGAGCCTCTTCGACCGCCCAAATGTTCTGAAAAAAATCATCGGTCAACAGGTCCGCAAGGCTCCCCAACTGGGCCCGGAAATGTCTGGCAACAAGGATCAATACGAATTATTGTAAGATATTTTTTCAGGATTAATATAGAAAGTCATATGGAATAGATATGAATAGATAATATATAGATAGGGATAAGATTTTTCAGAACGATGAATGCAGAAATATGCAGCAAGACTAGAAAAACCCTCTGGTAATGACTAACATAACGAACTGAAGATCGATCCACCATGCTATTACCCTCTGGTAAATTAACATAGACCCTGGCAGATAGGGGTTGGAAGATTAGTTTCCATTAAAACTAGGCTATTTTGAGGGTCTATGTTAATTTACCAGAGGGTAATGGGAAAATCCACTATTTCGACTGGACATTTTCAATGTCGCAAACTGTAAACGTTTACCAGAGGGTAAGCAGATGTCGCCCATCCGAGATCCCTGAGATCCTTCTGAGATC